CGCAAATGGCTACCATATTGAAAAATATACTATTTTTGTATGATAATTATGGGTTTTGTATTTTATTTTAATAGAAGTTGATGTTGCTTTTGCAATTATCCATCAATTTTTTAAAATTAAACACTATCTACAGATTTGCATCGAAGCGTTTCTTATGATAGTGATTTTAATCACTGTCAGATTAAATCTATACTGGACCCTACTATGCAATGTCTCCACTATGCCGCAACCTCACTGTGCTACCGTTTTTTTTTTATTTTTTTTTTTTTAATTAATTACAGTAATTGTATATTAATATACCTGTAGAATTTTTCAATTGAGGGTAGGGAGATTTTAGATAGTTTACCCCGGTTATCCATACGCTCATAGCAAAATACACCTTTTCTAAAAACTAAATCTAAAATTTTCGGAATTCGGTACACAAGTTATACCCTCTGTGCTAAAGTTCAGTTCTCTAAGAATAGAACTTGTATCATAGGATATGTTATGCGCATATACTGGTACAAAATTCGGAGTCTTTATTTTTAAATTACATGAATTACAAACAGTTTTTCGATAATCTCCGCTTATGAGCGCATAACAAGTTGTGCGTTTGATATAATGTTAATTTTTTTTTAGCTTCGATGCGAAGCGGAGAAGGTATTAATTTTACTATGATGTGTTTTTTTTTTTTTTTTTTTTTTTNTTGTTTATTAAAAACATCATATATTTCAGTAATTGCTACCAACGTGGTTTTATCTAGAGAGAATATTTCTAATATTAAGTAAAAATTTCCGTCATTAAAGGAGTCTATACATTTTAGATTTAAGATAAGATTCTTTGGGGCTAGTAATTGAAGGGTATAGTATTTTGCTTCAGTGCAGTCCCAAAGTATAATTGCTAGTGTAGTTTTCGGAACATTGATATGTTTCAATATAGAAGATTTATTTATTCATTGATGCTTTATATTTATATCGTAGTACTTCTTGTGGAAATGGTAGATGCTTTTGAAATACATTCTCGTATTCAGATTTTCATGTGAAAAAGAATGCATCCTATTTTTTATTAGTTCAAGTAGTGGAGAAGCTATTTTTGAAAAATCTTTTTTTAATCGTCTATAGTAACTGCACATGCCTAAAAAGCTTCGAATTTGTTTTGGAGTTTTAGGTGTTTCAAATTCAGTAACAGCTGATATATTTCGAGACAGAGGTGTTATTCCGAGCTCTGAAATGACATGTCTTAGGAGTTCTATATTTTGTGCAAATAGGTTACATTTCGATGTCTTTATAGAAAATGAATAATTATCTAATTATCTCAATATCACAAATTAGGTCTACGGAAGAAAATGCTATGAAAGGAAAATTTTTTTCTAAAGCGATATTTTTTAGATTAAAGAGACTTTTGAAGAGATCTAAGTATGAAGCCTGAGAATGGCAAAACTCTTGTTATTAATAAGTGTATTATTTTATCATATATTATTGTGTTTACTTGACCTAAATATATGTTAGTATTTTTTAGGAAATCCGTTATGTTACCAAATTTATTAGTAACATTTTCAAATGAGTTAAATCTTCTGTTCCTAATGATCCTCGTTCCTTCTCTCTTAATGTTTTTGTTTCGTTGATAAATGATCGCAATCAGGGCTTTGACCATATTTAACCATTGGCGTTTACTTCTGCGAGCGTTTTCAGAATTTTTAGTGTTTAATGTATTGTTAAATTCACAGCCTGTAAGCAAATGTCATCCGCTTGTTCTCCACCCGATAAGTCCATGTCTTCATCAGATTTACGTTTGTTATTTATTGGAATAACGTCAGGTCCTACAATAATAATAATCATTATAAATAAATAAATAAATAAATAAATATATTATATTGCAGTATTTAGAACTTAATTTTGTATTAAATTACCTTGATATGCAGAAGTCGAGGGTATGTGTCGGCGATTATTATCGTAATTTGATATATGGGTTATAACACTTGGTCGAAGTTGTTGCTGTTGTTGATCTCTTAATAGTATTTCATTTTTTTATTATTAGCAACTGAATAAAAAAAAATATATATATATATATATATATATATATATAAAACATATCATCGTATATGATTTAGTATAATTTTTTAAAATAAAATGATCCAAAAAGTTACTCACTGTGTTTGTTAAAATGTTTTTTTAGATCTCCTGGATACTTAAAATCCGCTTGACAAATTGAACAATTGAACATTATTATTATGTTAGAGCTGGAAGATTAATTTAACTAAACTCATATAAATGCTTAAAGACTAGTATAATTAAACTTAGCACTACTAATAAATTTAATAATAATAAACTATTACTAAGATACTACTTGAATAAGTCACTCAAAATATTTATAATAATAATAATAAATATTTAGTCAAGTAAAATAACGTCTGCTTATATGTATATGTATTTAGCGATAAATGATAGCTTTATGAATTAGAGTAAAAACTCGGTTTACAGTATGAATCAAAAATTGCATCTGACCTATCATATACATTCAGATTACTTTTATAGTTGACCCGTGGTCATTAGGTGTTGACCGAATACCATCTCCACCACTACTACCACCACCCTTCATAGAATATTACCTATGTACATAATCATTAAAAAAAGTTTTTTCTCTCTATATTATTTCAGTGTTTGATAAATAAATAAGAAAGGTGTTGAGATTAAATAATCTTTATAATATTATATATATATTAAAAAAAAAAAATTACGTATGAGCAATGAATTTGTGTGGGAGTCATTGTCAGTACCCCATAGATTAGTCTCAATCAGCGCTATTGAAATAATAATAATAATAATAAATATTATATCTAATTTAACACACATAATTGTTTCATATATTTAAGTATCTTAACATTTATCATATCGTCGTGAACAAGTTCAGGGGAGATGTTGGGCATTCGGTTCATTTAATTCCGACAACGAATGAATGTGTGGTGGTGGCGCACGGTCTACGAGAGAATCGGTGTAATAACACAGATTGATCTCCCTAACCGAAACTATAGTAATTGTAAGCGCACTACATTAACCGACAGATACCAATTGAATATTTAAGTTTAATTGTTTGAGCGAAGTCAACGCTGAGTGAACAGTTGTATCACTCTTAAAAGTAGAACCCATATATGGTACTGATGCAATTACCAAATTTATTTATATGTTCTTAGTGGACTGTATAGAGAGTAAACTTAAATGACAACAGCTAGAAGAAAGTTAACTAAAGATATGATTTTTATTTCTATGATTACAATTGAAATAGTTGCATTTGTACACTAGAAAACAACATGCATTTACAAAATGATTACCAAACTATTGTTTCAACCCAATCATACAATCAAAAATCAAGTAGATTAAATAGACTTATAAAACTAGTAACAAATTACAATCTGATATTCCTTGATAAAAGAGCTAAACGTGAAGCCTACAATAAATATCATTATGATGACAAAATTAATGAACACATAGAGTCATTTCATCCAACCACTTCTCTTTACCGACGAGAACATGCACCAAATACACGTTATTTTCTCAGTGATATCAGCATAGTAATGATACATCAAGACTTTATTGAAAAATACCCAAACCAGAATATATCATATGAATTTTACAGATGTAAATTAAAAGAAAAAAAAATTTCATTTACTAATTTGGGACATGAGGAGTGTGAACAATGTGAACAATTTAAGTAACATGACCATATAAAGATTCAATTCAAGAAGATTGTGAAATTTGTATGACATGGAAAATAAATGAGACAAAATATATAGATGCTAGAAATCTTTACAAAAAACATTCAACTCAACAATATAATGTTAATTGTGTCTCGGTTTCTGCAGATTTACAAAAAGTAATTATGCTTCCATGGGCTGAAATGTTTAAAAAAGTGATATTTACTAGACGCATCATAGCATACCATCAGGGTTTTGTACCTGTTGGTACTAATAATCATATTAAACCTCTTGCTTGTATTTGGCATGAAGGGACAACTGGTCGCAATAAAGAAGATATCATCAGTGCGTTCTATATATTTTTAAAAAAAACATAGAGATGTTCCAACAGTTCAAATTGGGCTAGACAACTGTGCCAGTCAAAATAAAAATTGGTGTCTATTAACATTTCTCATTTATATTGTTAATTCATGTGAAGTATCTACAAATACAATTATTATTTACTACTTCGAACCAGGCCATATATATATGAGCGCTGATAGTTTTCATCATCAGATTGAATTGTAATTAAAAAAAAAAAACAAAAAAAAAAATCTTGATTTTAATGATTTTGAAGAAGCTCTCCAAAGTTCAAATAAAAGCAAAGTTGATATTAAAGTTATAGACCATATTTCTTTTTATGATTGGAAAGATTTTAAGTCAGCCCAAAACTTACAAAAAAAAAAAATCGTACTTTATTGAAAGATATTGTATGTATTAAAGTTGAAAGAGAAAAATGTATATTACAATTCAAAACCAAACACACTGATACAGAATATGAAGAATTAGATTTTCTATGTAAGAAAAATATGAAAAAAATGGAATTCCTATTGCCTTACCTAAAGCAAAGCTATGTATTGTTCCAAAAGAAAAAGTTAATAGTAGATTACAAAAATTATCTCAAATCTTTCCAGAAAATTGCAAACAAATTTGGAAAAATTTTCATTATACATAAACAAATACAGTTAGCTAATTGGTTTTTTATGATATTGTTATCACAGTCACGGATTGTTTATTATCAATAGATATACTTTTTGTATTGTCAGTTAAGTATTTATAAACTCACAACAATGTACCTTACTATCATTGATAATAACAATGCTGTGTACCTGCTAATATCGATGTCATAAAAAACCAATTAGCTACCTGTATTTGTAATCCCTTGTGTATTATACCTATATATTAACTCAAAAATTTGAAACTTTAAATGTTTATATCTAATAAACAAATTAAGTTTCATTAAAAATTCAAATGCCATTTACGATTGAATTAAGAACTCAAACATTTTATTAAATTAAAAATATGTGTTACCATTTAAAAAAACAAAGTTGACACCCTTACCAGACATAAGGGATGAACTTAAAAAGTATTACATAGTTAATAATTCAAGAATAATGTGTAACTAAAGATAGTAATAAAACAAATTTTTTTAATTATTATTAATCTGTAAGTAATTGAGTGGGTTATGATAAAAAAATCACCCTGTATACATTATTATATTACATTACTGATTATTATCTTATAATGTATAGTTTGTAATATTTACTTAAAAATAAGTAACAACACAAAAATAAAATAAATATCTATGATTTTATTATATTTTAAACACGTGAACATTGTTTTTATACATAAAAGTTTATTTTAAACTATGAATAAAAATAAAAATAAATTTTAAGAATATTTAAATTGTTATTATTGAAATGAAAAATTGAATGCATTAATACGTTTTTCGTAATAAATTATAAATAAGTTTTCCATAGATTCATTGTATTCATCTATTTCAGAGTCTATGAGTGAAATTATTTTAGGCAAACAAAGCTGTTTATCGTTTTCTAATCTCGCTATTAATTTTCGACCGTACTTGGTTTACACAGATCTCAAATTAGTTACCCGATACTCTTTATTTAGTGTCAGTGAAGCCATTGATACATATTCATTGTGAGAGAGTGATTTAATTTTATTCAATACAGACATTTTTTCTAGAAAAAAAAAAACAAATCATTAGTTTAAATATTAACTATACTTATCGTTAAATTAAAATATAAGATTCAAGCAATACAAAAAAAAAAAATGAGAAAAATTAGTTTTACCTACTTATTTCTATTGAATTCAAAAAAAAAATTGGATAAAATGTTTGAAACTTATTTGTTGTAAAACTTGACTTTTATACGAGACGTACAAAAACTGCGTTTAAACTAAAATAATATTACTGCAAATTACTTAAATATTATTTTTATTGAGGGAGGGAATTGATATAATATTATCAACACCAGATTTCATTGGTTAAAAAATCATAAACTCACCCCCAACGATAATAAACCAAATATTCAACCCTTATAGCACAAATTTTATCCAATACTATTATGAATATGATTTATCGAAATATTCATTAGTTTACTATTTATGAAGGTTAAACTAATACAACATTTAATGCTGACTGTCATTGGATATACAATTATTTTTTTAAATTTTATTGGTAGTTAAACATAGATGAACAAACCAATAAATCCTACCACAAAATCACAACATAATTGTCCCCTTTTAATAATAACAATAATAGGATTTTTATTGACAAGTGCAACCTTCACGCTCTCCCACCATTCATTGGCGCATCCTTTAGAAACAGTGAGCGTAATGGACAGCTGCTTTTGCTACATTAGTATTTATGATTTTTTATGACACTCCACACAATTATTAGTTATATTCATTAAATCACAATTACTATATCGACATGTTTAGACACGAACATCGACACGAAACAATATTAATAAAAACGATTACACAAATAATCTCACCCTAATACGAGTTAGTTGTCAAATTTATCCGTGACATTGGCCTGTCATTGGGAAGATTTGTGCTGTTATGTTACTTACAAATATTAATACATACATACAATATGAACACTATACATCTCTTTAAGACATTCCCCATGCACAATATAGTATACTATAACAATGTATTTTTATATAAAACCACCACTCAAAGGACTTCATTTCATTGTATCAATTAATCAATGGTCAACATTCTGTTTAACCCCCTCACAGAGGGTGTGGCTTATCAACCAATCACAGCTCATCAGTTGTTATACGCTAGGTAGACCACGCCCCCAACTACCCCATGGGGTTAATAGGGTAAATAATAACAACAATAATAATAACAGACTAAAAAAAGCGGAATTAGAAACAGAGTTGGAGAAAAGAAATCTTACATCAACGGGTAAGGTATCTGAATTAAGGACTAAATTACTTATGTACGTATTGACGAATGATAGAGAAAAATAACTAAATTTTAACCAAATACTTAACACGCAAAAATCAATAGTCAATAAATTAACAATGGACAACAAAATAACATCGTATTTTAACCCCAACACATTTTCGGGCGGTATAAATGAGCGAGTGGACACTTCTAAAATCCTTCAATAGAGCGGCGTCAATTAACAATTGGTCAGAACAGAACATACCCAAATACCTAGTAG